ACATCCTGACCTTAATCTGCCCAGCTACTAAATTTCCAGAGGCGGTCCCGCTAAAAGAGCTAAGTTCCGTGGAAGTAGTGAACGCACTTCTGTCCGTGTTTGCCTGGGTAGGCTTTCCTGCCGAGATACAATCAGACCAGGGCACCATTTTCACGAGTGCCTTAACGACAACCTTTCTAGGGCGGTGTGGCGTGAAATTATTGCATAGTTCCGTCTACCATCCGCAGTCGAACTCGATAGAAAAGCTTCACTCCGTGATGGAGCGAGTGTTAAGAGCCAACCTGTGCTTAGTTCACCGGACTACTCGAGGCCTTTCATAGTCCAATGCGACGCTAGTGATAGAGGCATGGGGGCGGTTCTTAGTCAAAGGGATGAGGGGGATCAAGAGCATCCCGTCCTATATGTTAGCCGGAAACTCACCCTTCGCGAGCAGGTTTACAGCGCTAGCGAAAAGGAATGTGCGTGCTTGGTTTGGGCAGTCCAGAAACTGGCTTGTTATATTGCCGGAAGCAAGTTCATTGTGGAAGTGGACCACTGTCCTCTCACCTGGCTACAGACCATGTCCTCTAAGAACGGCCGCCTGCTGCGTTGGAGCCTCGTTTTGCAACAATATACGTTTGAAATACGCTACAAAAAGGGTGTACTCCATGGCAACGCTGATGGCTTAAGTCGATGCCCCTGACGCGAGAGGATGTCTCGAGAACTCTGGCATTTTTTTTCCTGACCTAGACAAGAGCTAGTGATTGTTTTTTTACTCTTTTAGGTGTACTTGTTTGAAAACGTTGAAGACACGGCTATCCAGGGTTTCGGGTTCGGTGTGCTTCCAGTGTTGTTGTTTTGTGTCACCTTACAGTGTGAGTAACATTTTGAATAAATTGTGTATTTCCTTTAATATCAGTTAACTCTTTCGCTACCGCGGGAAAAGGGGCCGTTTTTACTAGGTGTGAAAAATAATTTTTTTACGGCTAGATACTAATGCCTTATTTACATTGTTTGGTACCAAAATGTAGCTAAAAGAACGTTCTGTCCAATAACATAGTTGTTGTACATATATTTATTACACATAATAATGAAAAAAAAATATATAGAAAAGTTTATACAGTGTTTATACATTAACCACTTTAAAAAGGGGTATACCTTAAAAAATAATGAGGTTAAAAAAAACTGAAGATATACAATTTGTAGCTTATTATGTTGAAAAAAGGTTGTTCAAGTTTCAAAAATTATTGCGAAAAACTGTTTTTCCCACAAAAAGAAAGTTAGTGAGGGTGCGTCTCGTGCCATTCTCGAAAGCAGTCCCTCGTCGGGATGAAACAAAGATAGACCCCGCATGGCTGACACAAAACTGCTGTTTTCATCTGTGTCTTTCGTTTGTCGTAGCAGAGCTTGCAATTTCGGCGTTTTTCTTGCACCTGGGGCTTGTGTTCCGACTTTTTTGGAGGTGGAGGAGGGGGAGCATGTCTTTCGTCCGTGCCCAGAATCTGGTTGATCAGCTCAATTCTAAATGCGAGCTGGTCAAAGCCAGTTTTTCTTGACAGCTCATCTATTTCAGGGTGATCTCTCCGGTGTGCCTCAAAAAGAATAAAACTATTCACGATGGCAATGTCGATGCAGTGAAAGAACAGCGTCTTCCACCATCTCACGCATTTCATCAACACGTTGTAGGAAGCAATGAGTTGATCCGACTTGTCAACACCAAGCATGCCCTTGTTGTACTCTTCTATCAAAAGCGGCTTCCTAACGGGAATCTTGGTCCATCTGTCTGCCCTCTTCACTTTTCGCATTGCTATGACGTGTTTGTTTGCTGTGTGTGCTGTGCTCATCAAGTTTACTACGCGCTTGTCTTTCCACTGCAAGTACAGCACGTCACTGCATCGCATCCAGCGAACGTCTCCTCGAGCTGCTCTTTTCTCCCATGTGGTATCTTTCAGCTGGGAGGGGAATCCGCGGCGATCTTTGCGTGTTGTTCCGCAAGCCAGAGTTTTCCGCTCAAGTAGGTGTACAAACAGAGACGTGGATGTGTAAAAGTTATCGAGGTAGATGATGTATCCTTGATTTAAGTAAGACTCGCAGAGGCTCGTTACACCGTCATAAGCGAGTCCCTTTGAGCTGGGTGCCTCTCTCTTCCCGGTGTAAACACTGAATTGGACAGTGTAGCCTGTCCTTGAGTCTGCGAGGACCCAGAGTTTGTACCCCCATTTGACCGCCTTGTCCCGCATATACTGACGGATTCCCGATCTTCCTTTTGACCTTACCATTCTCTCGTCTACACACACGTTGCGGTACGGCTGAAAAAGCTGCGAAGAGACGTCATTGATGTGCTTCAGTAGGTTTGATATCCTGTGCAGCTTGCCATCGCGGACGGGGTTTGTCTGCTCCGGATCCATGACACTGAGAAAGGCAAGGAACGCAAAGAAACGGCTCCTCGGCATAATCTTCGGAGGAATGAGACCAGAAAACAATTCGGAGGTGTTCCAATACAGATGAAGGCGAGGCAACTCAACAATTCCCATGTAAATGAGCATTGCAATGCACTTCATCACTTCATCGGGACTGAAGTTCCTCCACGAGCCGTCTCTTTCCGCGTACGTCTGCCTCTCTAAAATATGCATCCACGCATATTGTGTAGTTGCAGATCATGCTTATCACCTGCGTGGTGAAAAACAACTGGAAGAAATCGACCGCCCGGACGAAGCGCCATGCATTACTCCGGAGCGCGCCGCCGACTTCGACCCCCGGATTTCGTCTCGGCAGAAACTGTACGCGCTTGACAGATGCAGGCAAGGAATCATGTCCGTAGAGCGTTGAGACCCTGAAAATGAGTAAATTGCTATGAGTACACGCTCCGCCACTTGTAACCACTGATTAGTCAACAAAGTGTGCGGCACGCATACCGCAAACACTCACCTGTCGGACGTTGCGGTTTGACTTGACGCATCTTCGTCATCGGTGCCAAAATCTGATGAGTCAACATCTTCTCCAGACTCACTGCTGCTCATTACATCCTCAAAATCGACTGTTGATGAGCCGGATTCGCGAGAAACGTGTCGTCTTTTGGGAGCGTCTATGCGTGATGACGACGCCATGATCGGTACGCGCACGCCGCAACCGGAAAACTTATCGCAGCGAGAAAAAACTTCTCCGCAGCAAAAAACAAGCAAAACATCGCAGGTCCCTTCGTGTGTTTCCCACTTTTTAACCTAGATGGCGTTAGGTGCCCGTAAACTGCACAGCGGCGCGAGAATTCAAATTTGAAATGCATCGTTCAAATTGAACGATTTGAATAGGCGCGGTAGCGAAAGAGTTAAAGGGGAAAATTGCCTGGTGGAGTTTGGCGGAATTGTCCGGCGCTCACCGGCTGAGTAGTTGTGTTTTCATGTGCGTATGTGACGTCTGTTGAGCCCTCAATGAAGCAGGTGTTGCTCTCTACTTCATCAAAGACGGTCGTAACCAAACCGACTGCCGGCGCTGATCTCTCCGGACAGTGGCTGCAAACTTCAGCCCATCGAGATCTTCACCCCCTCGCGCGAGAGACTGTTACGACCGGCCCTGGGGAGCCAAGCAGGGAGAGTTTGGGGGAGAACCGGTTCTTGACCTGACGGTGTCGTCCACACCCACCTCCCCATTCGGGTTCCTCCTCGCCGGGAAAGCTAAGGGGTCTGCTGTGCGTTCGTGACCATATTTGGTAACATTTTGGGGCGCCGGGACCATATATGGACCTCGTGTTGGGTTGTGCCACTCCTTGTGTTGTGAGAGGTGTTTTCCCCTCCCTCGTGGCCGAGGTGCCGGCGACACCGTATTGGCTGACGATGCGGACAAGGCGCCCAGTGTCAACAACGTGGCGCTATAAAATGCCGAAGACGTTTTGTATCACACGCACTCTTCTCTCTTTGGGTCAGTTGACCACTTCTCCACATGTAAATAAATCTCTGTTGTTCGTTCGGGCGCTTCTTTCTCGCTGAATTGTTGGACGATGGATCCTGCGACGGGGCCAGCTACCGAAAACGAGACCGGCAGGACCCGGAGTCCCAACAGCGGAATTGCACAAACTCGTAAGATTTTTGTAGTCACTGATTTCCTGGCCGAGAACCTTAACATCGTATCATGCGCGCTACTCCTGGATCAGTGCCTGAGTGTGATCTTGAAACCGAACTAAATGCACAAAATTTCGGTCTTGATAATGCGGATATTTTAGGTGGCCTAAACAATGTCTGCAAATTTCCACGAATGCGCTTTCTTTTCGTACTTTTCTTTCTTGCTTTCACTTCGTTGGCAATGCAAAGTTTTGGAAATTCGAATGCACACCAGCCCGCATCACCTGCCTTGATTTTCGGGCACGTGAGACTGCATGCTTAACACGTTTGCGCAATATAGCCGATGAAGAAGGTGGTTTCAGCTGCAGTGCGTACAGTCAGGACTTTGGCGACGTATGCATTATTAGCTGTCTATGCTGCAATCAGAAATAAAATTTCTGAAATTTTACCCAGTGTATTAGGCGAACAACGAACTTGGAGCCGGATTTTCTGGAAGAAAAGTGCGCCTACTAGGCAAGTAAATACGGCATACTGTGAGCTGGCCCCACCACTTTCCTGCAGTCATTCTTCTTTCGAACCGGCAGAGACTGAAATGGCCTTCGTAGACAAGTTTGTAATGAATTTGTGAGCTTTTGATTTGTTATGAATGGCCTCGCTGTAATTTGACTTATGTTCACAACCTATTTCTATAATGTCACCATCATTGCCGTCTTTTTGTTTCTATTTACTTTTTTGAATACCCGCTGCGAACTAATATCGGCACCCTTGAATAATCGATAAATAAACAAACAAACAAACAATTGATCACGACATACATGTACATGTTTCTTCACACAAATAACAAGCTGGTAATGAGAGAAGCAAGCAAGTATGCCTTGCATTTTGTGTGTCTAATAGAGGAATAAAAACTCTCGCTGGCTCATGTTAAACCTCACGCGTCCTGATGATTTGGATTGCTTCACCCACCTGTCGAACAGCCTGGTAGACCTTCTCCTCATGCGAGTCCATTTCAACGAAGGTGCGGATTTGAGCCAGGTTGACGCTCTCCCGGTAGCCCAGGGCCACAATCTCGTCAAACGCAAAGATGAGGTTAAATGCCTGTTCCGCTACCTCCTGCTCATCCAGGCCACGGCAGTACTCAGGCAGCACACGCGAGAACAGTCGTAGGGTCTCCAGGTCCTATACCCATAACAAGAGAGAAAGCGCAATGATCAGAATGTCAAGGAGGAGTTATATCTTGTCGCGATTGGACCCATATTTCCTCATTTTCTTTTTTTTTTGAAATTTTTATACAACACAGCTCAACACCTTTGTACGCATTTAAACTGCGTTAGACGACAGGGTCAAACAATGCTATTCGTTTCAAAAAGTGAAATTATTGCATTTGTGAATTAATGGATGTTTTTTACACATACATGCTGGGCCTTGCAAATTGATGCAATTTGGTGCAACTATTGTGATGAACATTTATATTTCATCCCTACTCGTTTCTGCAGAAAACAAAACTGCACACTTGTGTCGAAGAATTACAGCAGCTATCCCAATGTCTGCAGGCAAACGCTTGCACAGAAACTGGCATAGTAATGCGCACTAACGAATCTCTGCATACTGAGGTAGCAACAACTTCTTCACTAAAAGCTGTAAGTGTGCCGCACTTTACACAAGGCCACTGGAATTTTTCATAATAACAATCGTTGGGTTTTATTGTGCCAAAACTATGATACGGTTACGAGGGACACCATAATGGAGGGCTCCGGAAATTTTCACATGCACCTAATCCCAAGAACTTGGCCTCAAGCATATTACAATTAATGCATTCTACAATTAATGCAGAGCAGTACGAGTCACTAATGGCTCACAATAAGAAAAGTTTAGAGGCATAAAAATTTGGTCCAAAATGAACTATACTTTACAGTTTTTCATGGCATAATACAAAAACTGTGCAAGTTGCTAAACAACAAATTACATATTTAAAATTGGCATGAAACATTATATATAAACAAAAATTTTATTTGCCTAAGCTACATACTAACACAACTTTTTTTTTTTCAAATCACATCTTCCTTTAAAAGGATTGGGTGTGTAGCACTAGAGCAAGGAAAAGCAATTAAGGTAGATTATGATTGCTGCTCTTTGACAGAGTAACATCCCAAAGTGCACAGTTCTTTGGGGAACGTAGCAAAGAAAAGAAAGCCAGCCATTAAAATTTCACAGCATTGTCACCTCAAGTATGTTGCTGGCACGTGTGGTCAACAGCAGCACGTACAGCTTGTCGTGCGGCTGGTACACATAGCGTACACTCTCAGTCTCCACAAAGGTGTGCTGCCGGCCGGCACCAAGCAGCTTTGGGAATGCCAGAAGAAGGCCCTCCACTCGCGCACGGCTCATCTCCACAAACTGCCGGGACACGATCACTGCAGCAAAGGACAGTGACAGCAAAGCCAGATTAGTAGTCGCAACAGCGAACATTGTGTTAAAAAAATACCGACAAGGAAATTTCAAGTTTTCTTTTTTGATGCCAAACGATAGGCCAAACTCTCAAGAGGTTAGGGAATGTACTGGTAAGTATGAATGAACCATGAAAAAGTAATTTAATGTTTTTAAAAGGTATTCTTGGGTCCCAACATCACACCCCCGTATGATCTTCTTGTCATGTACAGACACAAGATATCGCAATGTTTCTACAGCCACCCAGTTCCATGGCCCCATTCGTGAGGAACAAGCAGCCATTTTGCGTGTTTTGGTACCTGATGCTGGTGCATGATTTCACGGGAAATGACACTGTAGCCTGATGTCACACTAGTGTCTATGTCGATAGGTGTGGCATGTCAAAATTGACTTTAATGTCAAAGTAAAACATTTTAGACGAATTTTGCCAGCGTAACACATACTCAGAGCAATGCCTGTATACAGGAGATTCATAAGAAAGGGTACAGTAAACTTGAAAGGGTGGTGTCAGTACCGCATAAGAAGTACACCTGCAGTGACATCTTTTGTAGTCGCTGTCAGTGTTTCATGAACATTGCAAGCACTCAAAAACTCTGGAATACCAAGAACCTGGAATACCGAGAATCTGGAATATTTTCTAGCAAGTACTTCATGTAACTACTGGGTTTCGTAAGATAGCTAATTGTATGACGTGGCCTCACACCACAAGTTTAAAAAGCGCTCAACAGCTGCCATTGTAATGAAAGATGTGTGGGAGAAAGGGACTGTACGTAGGCAAACTGGCTCCGAGTGTGCACAAAATACTTCACATTTAAAAAGGACAGTGCAAGTTTGCATTCTCTGCTAGAAGATACAAATGATTGTGCAAGTGATTGCAAGAATAATTACACCAAATAATGCCAATGCGCGACACATTCACAACTTTCTCGTGTCTACAGACAATTTGGGCCTGAGAGCACCCCAAAGCGATTCGCCACCTTTTCAGAAACGTAGGCACCCTCTGTATGAAACTCCTGTATCAGCGCAGATTCTCAATGTTGGACTCGCAAATTAGGGGCATATGCTGAGCACGACCTAATGTTAGGCCCCCTACAGGTTGGAGAACATGGGCGAGTTTTACACACTTGAACACACTGAAAGTTTTGAGATAACGATTGACTGTTCGGAACTGAAAGAAATTTTCAGTGGGTACACTTCAAGGTGTAGATCATTCAAAAATAATAATGACAAAAGCTTACCCTTTCCGGATTTAGTCATCACCGCAGCCGCCAAGAGCACCTGAAAATGCAAATTAAAACTAAGAAACCCAGTGCGATAAATCCTACTGGTGGGCTAGTTGGAAACATGCTCACTAAAATTTAAAAAGGCGCTACATCTGATACGCTCACTTCCTGTGCATAGCTGTCAAGGAAGCCTATTGAAAATGCAGCGCTACCTCTTTGAGGGCACCAAATGGGCGCATTTAGCATTTGATTTGTGCGACCATGTAGCAATATTCGGACCCTAATATCATCAACCGGCTTGCGCACTTTGTTGTTCAGTAAGCTTATATCGGTGACAGTTGGTGCTGGCTTGCGGCTTCGGTCGCCAAGCGTGTCTTAAAGTGGCAGTATCAATAGAAACTACTCGAGTAACAGAAGAACCCGCCGCGATTTCAGTTTAAAGTCTGTAAATTAAACGCGCACTCAACCAAAATGTGATGCAACCGCAACTGCAAACAACTCGAAACTTGGCACACAGATCCGTGGTCATGATCATTACATCTGACATCGACTACCGCACTATGATCTAATACTGGCGACACTAAGTCAGCATGCTAAGTCCACACAAACAATAACTTGCCATTTTGAGCGATTTTTCTGTCGGTGCTTCGTAGAGAATCACTAACGCCGGCCCCTTTCCTGCGAGCTTTAAAGGATGTCTACTTCAAAGCTTCCGTATGGCGGTATGCTGCGGATGGTGAAAACAAACAATATACGAAATTGCTTCGACACATCACCTATTTCATTTCGCGAGTCGTGGGATATTCACGACAAACGTATGAGCAAAGAAACATCACCTGCATTAGCAGCCAGCCCCGAACATTACACGTTTGCAGAACCAGCGATTGGTTCCGGAACAGGAAACAAAGCTTACGGCTGAACGGGACTAGACGACAGTTTCGTTTTTGTGTCTCGGTTTCTAAAGTAGAAGATGGCTGTCTTGCACACTTTGCAAGTTTGTTTTTATAGGTTGAAGTTTTTTTCAGATAAGTTATTTATGAATTTATTTGATATTTTTATGAGTCCTTGATACATTGAATGAACCAATTTGCTCACGGGAACAGGTAAAAGCGCGGTTTATTTAAACTTTAGGCCGTGATCTGTACTGAAATGTTTTATTTATTTATCCATTTCCGATGAGCGATTTTCTCCGCCTAAAAGTTGGTGCAGTGTTATCGCTAGTAAGGTCCTTGATTGCTCGGCATAAGATGCGTCTTCATGGATTGGAATGTTTCTAAATCCTGTAGCAAATTGTGTAGTGAACGAATGTAGCCTGTCACATAGTCATCGGTAGGATTATCTCTCGGGGGGGGGGGGGGGGTGCAAATGGGTGTTGCATTGCGGCTGGGGGAGCGGGAGAACACTGATGTCGCTTATGTGAGAACAAGTGCTGTAGAGGCTTGAGGGGGACAACTACTCCTTTTGCAACCCCCTGCCGGCGCACATGGCCTGTCATCTGATTGCATAAACCACGCGAACGATATGTCGTTAGAACGCACGCGAGCTCCAGCGATTACGTCAATATCTACGGTGACCCATGCATAAGTTGACGGCGCGTTTCCATATATCAGTTTTCATCAACCGATGACTGGTAATCCCACGCAAACGCCGGCGTGGGTGCTGTCACGTGATCCATTTAAAGCGCGATAGGTGTACTGTTCCTGCACAAACTGGGAAAATTCCTTGTCCTGCAAATCTGATCTTCAAGCTCGACCAAGGTTAATCCTAGCAAGAAAAAAAAAAAAACCTTCAGCGAAACGCTTGTACATGGCCCGTTTGGGAAAACTAGCAGTGGCTCAAGTTCAGTATTTTGTACCACCGCAAAATTTACCCCGAAAACCAGCCGTAAAACACTTGCACGATTCATTCGAACTTTGCCAGCTTAGATCATATGCTCTGGCGTTGCCCTGCGTTACTGGTTGAAAACCTTACATCGTTAAAGTGGGATGCTGCGCTACGCAGTTCAGATTTAAAGGTACACTAAAGCCAACTATTAAGTTGACGTTGATCGTTGAAATGGTGGTCCAAAAACCTCCTAGTGTTACTTTCGTGCCAAGCATTGGCCTATTTTGAAATTAAGTCACGTTTTAGTGCTCCGCATCGGGTTAGCGCACTTCAAATTACCCGCCTCAAGAAGCGGACCAACTGGACTGTCTCACGTCACTGTTGTCGTGCACAATGTTGCCCAGCTTTACTGCGCTAGTAGCAGCAGAGCGAAAGCAGTCAGAGCCACAGCAGCAACAATGGCCATTGATCAATTTCCCGCCATTGGCTTTAAAATTGCAGACGCCTTTGTTTCAATTACGCCCCGCTAGATGGCATCACCTGTCTCGGGTAACCACGCGAAAATTGAATTTTTGAACCACTCGCGCCCAACGTATACCGTCCGGTGTGTGTGTGTTTTTCAATGAATCAAACAGAAACGAACATCAGCATTTTATTGCGCCTCTTGATGCAAGGAAGGTTCTTTATTTAGTGTTTTAGATCGATTGCTAGTTATTAATTGTATGCGGTTCGTCTGATGTCATCGGGATCATTTTGAAGATGTCCTACTGTGACGCTTGTGTTCTTGTGTATTTACCTTAATTTCTCGGTAAGTATGGCACTGCTGTTCATAATATTGTCATTTTAGATGTTGTCATACGTTGAGCTTTCACTCTGACGTAAATTGTTATTTGACTTTAGTGTCCGTTTGAGGACGCAGCTACGGGCAGTCCAACGGGTCCACGACGTGGCGGACAGTTTAGGCCTATCTTTCCCGACGTGGGAGCGGCCCGCTACGTGCTAGTTCACACCCCGATGGACCTAAATGAAGTTTTTCCATGCCATACCATACCTCCGCCCAAGTTCACGCGCGGCACGTTCCAGCCGAGAGCGGAGACGGCGCCGAACATTGTATGCATGTTTTGTTGTGGCTGAACTCATTGTCTCCCTTGCCACGGCGTGTTGTTCAAGCATATACCTCTCATCGTCCTTGCCCAAACGATGCCTGCAAACCAATGGCCTCGTGCTTTCCCATAACAAGCAGAACAGGGCTGTCGATCGACGGTTTAACCGTGTACAACGAAGGCAAATTTTTTGGATGCTTCGTCCTTTCTGTCTCGTCTCTGTTGTCTCGTTTGTTGCTCCTCTCATTACCTGATATGCATCACCAACTGGCCCAAACATCTACTCTTTTGCAGTCTTACAGCAGGAGCACAGCCAGCTATCCTGCAAGGGGTCAAACCAAGTATCCTTTTGTTTCACAAAACCATGCCGTCAAGGACAGCATTTGTGCACTATCATGATCATGACACTGATTTCTACTTTTAATCAATGTATCATGAGGGTGACGTCTCTTCAAGCTTACTCGGACAAAGCGGAGGCTACGCAACATGGTATAACCTAAAATTAGGATTCATCGAAATTAGCTCATTCTAAATGTCACCATAACCTCTGTCCATACTATAAGATCCGCCCAACTCTTGGTTGATTCCTCTGGGTAGGTAGGAGCCAATCATCCCAGGAACATCATCATCAAGAAGAAGAACGCACGGTGGTCATTGTTGATCGCATGATTTTGCTTAAAAAGTGCCATACTCTCTGCAGGACCGACCATACCAGGACCATGCTCACTCTTGCGCCTATCCTCGAAATTGTTTGTGCACAAACCATGCCATTGGCCTTGCTGCGTGCTTGGGCCAGCGAAGGAGTTAGAGAAGGTGGCTTAACCAAATGCAGCAGCAGCCCTGGTGGTCGCAGATACGCACATAGTCATCAATGTATTAATCACGCTAATCGACATAGAGTAATTGATGCATACTGTTGTATCCAGCTATCACACGAGCAACGACACCCGCACAACTGCGTGCCCAGCTGGCACATTTATCGGGTTTGACGTTTAGATAGTTTATAGGACAGTTTACTACTGCTGGAAGTATTGATAGCAATAAACCCATAAGCAGATGCAAAAGGTGAGGGGGGAGCGCTTTAAAAAGGAAGCGCCGGGCCGGTAACATGTATACGTTTGCGTAGCGGAAGCGGTCCTGTTGTTTTTAAAGGGACACGAAAGAGGGAAACGACTTATTGTTAACCTGTAAATTCCCCCTTCAAAATTACAAAATCACCACGCTCGCCGCGACAAGGCGCTTGGTAAGCGGGAAAACGCGCAAAAAGAAAATGCGGGTAGTGACGCCACTTAGAATTTCCTGCACCAAACGTCATGACGCCACATATTTTGACGGTTATAATGGCTAAAATGTCTGGCGGTTTACTAATGCCCCACCATAATGGGTAAAAATGAAGCACAATGTCTGCTGATGGGGCCAGAGATATACCAAGTTCGGAAAATTTCGTCGTGCCAATGTCGGCAAAATACGACAAATACATTTTGAAATTCATGACTTCACGCGCGCAGATTTCAGCGTGAAACTTTTGAACTTTTTCTTCTCCTATAATAGTGAACTTGTGATGCTAAGACTAACAATATTAGAGCTTCAAGCGACCCGCCGTGGTGGTCTAGTGGTTGCTGTGGTACTCGGCTGCTGACCCGCAGGTCGCGGGATCTAATCCCAGCTGCGGCGGCTGCATTTCCGATGGAGGCGGAAATGTTGTAGGCCCGTGTGCTAGATTTGGGTGCACGTAAAAGAACCCCAGGTGGTCGAAATTTCCGGAGCCCTCCACTACGGCGTCTCTCATAATCATATGGTGGTTTTCGGATGTTAAACCCCACATATCAATCAAGAGCTTCAAGAGAACAATTTGTCAATATAAGCCAATTCGTTGTTTAATTTTTCTCGGTGTCCTTTCAGTGTCAAGCCATGCAGGTTTTTGAACATGATGGTGGTAGAGTAGACCTGATGTTAAATTCATAGAACAGTTTACTGACAACCTTGGCACCTGAAATCTGAGGACAGCAAGCTGTTGTGATAAGCACTTCATCGTTTTATTTCTGTTTTTTTTTTCATCCATTGCGAAGACAGTTTTTTTTCTATTTTTGAACTCGACCAAGTGGTGGAGGTAAGTGGAAGCTCATGCGCTTATTTTGACATATAAAAAACATAAGACAGCGCGAAGCACAAAGCAAAAAGACATATGAACAAGCAAATTTGGCTGTAAGTCAAACAAATATATTTGTTGTAAACCAAATTTTGGTTGTAAGTCACTGCTGTGTCCGTTTCTGTCCTTTTGTTCTGTGCTTCGCACTATTTTTTTTTTTAGTTTTCTACGAGCAATAATGAAGAAAGTGTAACCCCTCCCCCCCCCCACTCCTGTCCTCAACTGAGAATTAACTCTGCGCTTGCCTATGACCATATTATTCCCACCGCAAATCGCTACACAATTCGTTTTTATGTGATGTACTATTTAGTGTTCTGACGGCATTGATGTCTACAGTTACAGCATATGATGCCGGCGTCCCTCATAAAGGGATCCCATCGGATGCAGTGACTTCAAAGGCGGTAACTGAGACGATGTTATGGAAATCGCAACGACGTAGAGTTACTGTATATGCTACCTTTAAGTTGCATATTGGTAGCATACAAAATAACTCTACCACAATGTAAGAGTTGGGGCCATCTATTGGTAATTGCTAACAGCGAGGACTGAACGCTTTTGCGCAAAAAACGGCTAGAGGGCAGCAGCCGCTTGGCACAATTCCTGCGACGTTGAAGGGCGAGTGAGACAGGCAGTCGACAACACTACTGTCGGAACTAAAGTTGACGCCGTAGCCG